TTCAAATTTGTTTTAGTTACTTAGATAACTTCAACGTGCTGCTCAGTTTTGGACCTCGTTGCAATTCCACTTGTCTTATGGTCAATGAATGCTTTATTTGTGATAAAGATTTTTAGTTTTCAAAATATGGAGTAGTAGAGGAAGACAGGAAGAGTCTACATTAGATGACTAGGTGAATTTAGTCAACAATTTTTTCAAATTTCCTTTGCTCACTATGTGTCTGTCACTCTTTTCTCCATTTGAAAAAAAAATTACTAATATTATTCTTGTTCTTCCATTACATTGCCAGTGCATTTCCTCACCCAGATTGGCCATTAAAAGATATTGCTGTTTGTACTGGTTTATTGGCCATACTTATTTTATTGTTTTGGTGGAGGCGATCCAAGAAACCTAGTATTACCTTTGGAAATATGAAGGGAAGGACTGCCATCAAATTTGATCCTCAAATTGTATGTCTCAGCCAAGTTTAAGGAGCAAAAAAGTCCAAGCGTGTTGATCAATATATTATTACTTTGCTTTCTTTCTACACGTTTCATTGCTTTTTATTTATCATTTAGTCTGTTTAAAATTCAACTCAAAAGTGAATTTAGCCTCATGTTAGGATGGCTATTAGAAAAACACAAAGAATAACAAGTGTTGGCAAGAATGTGGAGAAGTTGGAACCCCTATACGCTGTTGCTGGGAATGTAGAACGGTGCAGCCACTGTGGAAAACAGTAAAGAAGTTCTTTAAAAAAATTAAACATAGAACTACCATATATATGATCCAGAAATCCCACTTCTGAGTATATAGCCAAAAGAATTGAAATTGGGATCTCAAATGAGATCTCATATCTGTACTTTCATTTCCATGTTCATTGCAGAATTATTTACAATAGCCAAGATATGGAAACAACCTAAATGTCCATAGATGGGTGAGTGGGTAAAGAAAAAAATACAAACACACGCACACACACACTGAGATGTTGTTAAGCCTGATAAAAAGGAGGAAATCTGTTATATGTGACAACATGGGTGAACCTTGAGGACATTATGCTAAGTAACATAAGCCAGTGATGACAACACAAATCCTGCCTGATTCCACTTATATGAGTTATCTAAAATAGTCAAACTCACAGAAGCAGAAAATAGCATGGTGGTTGCTAGGGACTAGGGGGAAAGGAACATAGGGAATTGCTTTTCAATGGGTATAAAGTTCTATTGTGCAAGATGAATAAGTTCTAGAGATCTGCCGTATAACATAGTACCTGCAGTTAACAGTACCATATTGTACACTTTAAAATATGTTAAGAGGAATATCTCGTCTTGTGTTCTTACCAAAACCAAATCAAAACAGAAACAGAACAAAAAGACAAAACAAAGAATAAAAGTCCTCACAAAAGAACATATAGAAATTTTTGGAGGTGATGTATATGTTCAGCACCTTGGTTGTGGTGATAGTATCACAGGTATATACGTATGTCCAAACTCAGCAAAATTTTTTATATAAATCTCAATAAAGCTAAAAGAAAGTGGATTTAGATGGGAAATATAATCTAGATTAAGTGACCAAAGTTTGTAGCAATTTTCAGTAATATTTCTGTAACAATTATCAAGAAAAGCATCAAAAGATTTTTCTTTGTAATTGTGAATAAAATCTCTTAATTCAGTAGTATAATGTTACTATAACAAATTGGATAACCCATCCTTTAGTCAGTATGTCCACAATCTATAATTTGCCACTGAATGGTATTTAAATGAGAATCATTTAGATGTTTGATCTATCGATATTCAATATTTGAATATTTCTATAATTCCTCATTGATGGGAAATGAGATTTCATATAAGAACATACATATATTTAATTGTAAGTGGGTATGTGACTACAGCAGGAGAACTTTTTCTCCAAGTCTGTTTTGAACCGTGACAAATCTTTAACAAAGAATGTATTTGTAGAAATCAACCCAGAATACTTTTCCTTGGTGTGTGTGGAGTGGGGAAGAGGATTTGACATCAGCTACCAGAGTAGTTACCAACCTTGGTTGTACGTTAAAATCACTTAGGGACTTAAAAAGATATTACCCGTGCCCAGCCCACTCTCGTGGATTCTACTTTAATTGATGCTAATGGGTAGCCAAGGTTGTGAATTACTATAAAGACCAAGAAATAGCTTGTATGCACATACTGTGATAAGTAAATAAAAAAGTCTTTCAAATCAGCAGGAAAAGTTATTGGGACAATTACTTTAGGGACAAAAATAAAGCTAGGTTCCTTACTAACACTAAACAAATTTCCTTTCTACCCAGCATATAGACACATTCAGGTCAGAATTGTGATGTAGAATAAAACAGAAAGAAACACTTTTCTTTAAATGGTTACATTTTAATTATACATGCTTTGAAATGAGTAACTTGCTTTCCAAAGACTTGTCCTGTGTTTAGCAATACAGTAATATATCGAGACTCTTAAAATATCTGTGAAACAAAAATTCCAATTCTAAGCTGCCTACGAAGATTTCAACATAAGGATGTATATAACTATAAAAAGTCTAATAATTTTACCTGTAGAAGAATCATTCTTGTGTCTCTGCTGGGGCAGCTTTATAAGAGATTTTTTTAGGGAACATAATCAGGAATAGAACTTCTGGCCTGCAGGTTATGTGCATAGCTATCAAGCGATGCAAGATTGCTTTTCTAAGTGGCTGCACTGATTTATACACTCAACAGCAATGATCATCATCTTTTTTTCAATTTGTGCCAGTCTGGCGGGTAGCTAATGTTACCTCATTACTCATCCTTGATTACTAATGAGATCGAGGGTGATTTCATTTGTTTATTGGCCACTGATACTTCCTTTTGTATAAAAC